GATTCTCCTGCTCAGCCTCTGAGTAGCTGGGACTACAGGCCTATGCCACCATGTCCAGCTAATTTTTCCAGAGGGAGTCTCGCACTGTCGCCCAGGCTGGAGTGCAGTGGCGCAGTCTTGGCTCACTGCAAGCTCCGCTCCTGGGTTCACGCCATTCTCCTGCCTCAGCCTCCCGAGTAGCTGGGACTACAGGCGCCACCACCTTGACTGGCTAATTTTTTGTTTTTTAGTGGAGACGGGGTTTCACCGTGTTAGCCAGAATGGTCTCAGTCTCCTGACCTCGTGATCCACCCGCCTCGGCCTTCCAAGTGCTGGGATTACAGGTGTGAGCCACTGCACCTGGCCTTTTTTTTTTTTTTTTTTTTTTTTTTTTAATTTTTTTTTTTTTTTTTTGAGACGGAGTCTCGCTCTGTCGCCCAGGCTGGAGTGCAGTGGCCGGATCTCAGCTCACTGCAAGCTCCGCCTCCCGGGTTCACGCCATTCTCCTGCCTCAGCCTCCCGAGTAGCTGGGACTACAGGCGCCCACCACCTTGCCCGGCTAGTTTTTTGTATTTTTTTAGTAGAGACGGGGTTTCACCGTGTTAGCCAGGATGGTCTCGATCTCCCGACCTCGTGATCCGCCTGTCTCGGCCTCCCAAAGTGCTGGGATTACAGGCTTGAGCCACCGCGCCCGGCCGCGCCTGGCCTTATTTTAATTTTTTTGTATATATTTTTTGAGGCAGAGGCTCACGCTATCGCCCAGTCTGGAGTGCAGTGGTGAGATCATGGCTCACTGCAACCTTGACCTCTTGGGCTCAGTCTCCCAAGTAGCAGGGACCATGGACCCGCACCACCACGCCCGAGTAATTTTTAAATATTTTGTAGGCCAGGTATGGTGGCACATGCCTGTAATCCTAGAACTTTGGGAGGCCAAGGCGGGTGGATCACTTGAGATCAGGAGTTCGAGACCAGCCTGGCCAACACGGTGAAACCCTGTCTACACTGAAAATACAAAACTTAGCCGGGCTTGGGGGTGCATTCCTGTAATCCCAGCTACTCGGGAGGCTGAGACAGGAGAATCGCTTGAATCCAGGAGGCGGAGGTTGCAGTGAGCCGAGATTATGCCACTGCAGTCTAGCCTGGGTGACAGAGCCAGACTCCATCTCAAAACAAAAAATTAAATTAAAATAAATATTTTGTAGAGACGGGGTTTTGCCATATTGCCCAGGCTGGTCTCTCGAACTCTTGGCCTCAAGCAACCCTCCCTCATCTGCCTTCCAAAGTGATGGGGTGACAGACGTGGGCCACTGTACCCAGCCATACTTTTTGGTTGGTTGGTTGGTTGGTTGGTTGGTTTTGAGATGGGGTCTTACTCTGTCATCCAGGCTGGAGTGCAGCAGTGCAATTACAGCTTGCTGCAGCCTTGACCTCCAGACTCAAGTGATCCTCCGACCTCAGCCTCCTGAGTAGCTGGGACCACAGGCACATAACCACCATGCCCAGCTAATTTTTGTATTTTTTGTAGAGACAGGGTTTCGCCATGTTGTGCAGGCTGGTCTTGACATCACGGGCTCAGGCAATCTTCCTAGGCAAAATCACCATGCCTGGCCTTTTGGTATTTTTTGTAGTGATGGGGTTTCTCCATTTTGGCCAGGCTGCTCTCAAACTCCTGATCTCAAAGTGATCTGCTCGCCTCAGCCTTCCTAAGTGCTTGGATTATAGGCATGAGTCACCACACCCCAGCTGAGACTACTCAAGAAGCCTCTACCAGGCATGTTCATTTGGCCTTGCCAGAGTGAATAACAAAGACAATGGCAGCTTATTTGCCAGGTACACAGTTCCTAGTTGTAAATACTCTTAAAGAAATGGACGTAACCCTTTTGTATGCTCTTTAGCAGAATTTGTATGGCTTGAGCAGAATCGAGGCAGCTCAGCTGCTCCTCATTCTCCACTGATTCTTCACCCTATGACTGACCTGGCAGGCCTGCTTTGGGCTGCAAGGACACGCTGGTCTGGTTCCACCTTGTGCATCACTCCCAGTGCTGCTTTCCCCTTTCCTGAACCACCTCTGCCTGGGGCTTCTGTCATTTCAGCTGGTCATTCAGGTTCCATACTTTAGGTTCTATCTGCCAGTCATTTGCACTTGATTTTAATTTTACTCAGCCAGCATCCGTTGAGTACCCAGCAAATGCAGATACTGCCGAAATGTACTTTACCCTTAAGGAACTTCGACTGAAAGAGACGAAAGTGGAAACCTTACATTGTAATAGAAAGCAGAATGAGTGCATGCCACCTCATGGTGCAGGTAATGGCAGTTTGCTGTAAAATAATAGGAAGATTCATTCCAATTGGGGATTTTTCTTCAGGAGGAAGGCGGTGATATTTGAACTGGGCCTTTATACTCTGCTAGAAGGACAGAGAAGAAAAATGAATCTGACTTCATAATCTGCCTATTTACCCAGACTCTAGTCCTTTTGCTAGTAAACTAAAAATCAAATACCCAGGAAAATCATCTCTTAAAAATATCCAGGGTCTGAAGGACAGATCTCATCCTCTCTTGTTTTTAACCTCTGCCAGGAGACCCAATTAGTCTGTTGGCGTCACCACACCCAGATGAAGGCAGTGAGCAATCATTGGAAGCCTGAGCAAACAAGTTCTAGGAGTTCCCTTCTTGCTTGTCCGTGCCTTGCTCTCAGAGCCCTTGGGTTTGTAGGCAAGTTCCCCCTCCTTCCCAGTCTTTCAGCTCACTTGACAGCTGCACCTTTTCCAGGCTCCTTGTTGTACTGCCCAGACCAATGAGTTTGCACATTGTCTTCTGTTTTCACTCTCTTCTGTTGGCAAAGGTTCCTGCTCCCTTAGAGTACTGGCTGCCCTGCTCTCCTCTCATAGCACTTTCTCTGCCCTTCAACCACTTCTTTTTTTCTTTTTTTTTTTTTTTTGAGATGGAGTCTCACTCTGTCTCCCTGGCTGGAATGCAGTGGTGCGATCTTGGCTCACTGCAACCTCCACCTCCCGGGTTCAAGTGATTCTCCTGCCTCAGCCTCCCTGAGTAGCTGCGATTACAGACGTGTAGCACCACACCCGGCTAATTTTTGTATTTGTAGTAGAGACAGTGTTTCACCACGTTGTCCAGGCTGGTCTTGAACTCCCTGGCCTCATGTGATCTGCCCCACTTCGGCCTCCCACAGTGCTGGGATTACAGGCGTGAGCCACCATGCCCGGCTTCCTTTAACCACTTGCTTCCTTCACCAACCTCTGTCTTGCCAGAGGCAGGCACCAGATGGCCAGTCTCATTCCCCCTCTTCCTGCAGAAGAGTGGGAATAAGAGAAACAAGGAGGGAAGCAGGCATGTTGCTGGGAAGCCTTTGGTGCAGATAACCTTGGCTACTTAGCGTCTCTGGTATGTTCAATGCTTGCAGAGTGGGGTCAGGAAATACCACACTCCACCCGAGGAGAGTGGTCAACAGGCAGCAGGAAAAGGCTTGCCCCAGCTACAGGTGCAGCTGCAAACCATGTTGGGTTAGAAAGGCGAGGATATCAGGTGTGGTGGTAGAAGAGTTAAGAAGAGGAGGCCGGGTGTGGTGGCATGCCTGTAATCCCAGCACTTTGGGAGGCCGAGCAGGAGGATCACAAGGTCAGGAGTTCGAGACCAGCCTGACCAACATGGTGAAACCCCGTCTCCACTAAAAATACAAAAATTAGCCGGGCATGGTGGCATGCACCTGTAATCCCAGCTACTTAGGAGGCTGAGGCAGGAGAAACGCTTGAACCCAGCCGGCAGAGGTTGCAGTGAGCCGAGATTGTGCCACCGTACTCCAGCCTGGGTGACAGACCGAGACTCTGTCTCAAAAAAAAAAAAAAACACGGAAGAGGACAGGGTGTATCTACAAGCAATATTAAGCCTTGACATCTGTCCTGCACAGGGTTGGTCTCTGTGTCTAGTCAATGTTTACATTGATTGGCCCTGGGTGGTACCTGAGATGCTGGGAGAACTTAGATTCTTTTCTGGACAGCTCACTCAACATACCAAGTATTGGAGCAGCAGGACTGTGGTTCTCTTCTATCTCAGACGAGGCTTTCTTTACCATCAGGAGACCAAGGAGTAAAAGGAAAGCATAGTTACAAACAAAAACAACAAAAAATCTCCCAAAGCATAGTGCTGTGCCCCTGCAATAAGAACCAGACAGCACGTGTTCCATGGAGTCCGTTTCAGCATGACAGTGCTCATGGTGGTGTCTGTCACAGAGGCCCTGGAAGCTGGGAGAGTTCAGGCCTGAGCCAGGAATGTAGGTTAAAAGCGCCCCTCGGTGGTGTAACAAGGAGTCACGTGCTTTTCCCACCTTAAGTTCCTGAACTTGGCTCTTTGATGCTTCTAGTACTTTCTCTTTCCCCAGGTTTTCTATCTTTTTCTTCCCTTTATTACTAGTATTTTTATTCCCAAAGCAAAACATGTTCAATGTAGAAAAGTCAGGACTACAGAAAAATCACACAATATGGTTTAGTATACAGTGAGAATCCTCCTCGCTATCCTATTTCTACTTCCCTTTTTTTGGTGTGCATTCACTTTTTTCTAGGTTCAAATAAATGTATATATTATATACAAATATTAGGTTTTTTGTTTTTTGGGTTTTTTTTTCCCTGTGAGACAGAGTCTCACTCTGTCACCCAGGCTGGAGTGCAGTGGCACAATCTTGGCTCACTGGAACCTCTGCCTCCCAGGTTCAAAGCGATTCTCCACCTGAGCCTCCCAAGTAGCTGAACTACAGGTGCATGCCAACACACCTGGCTAATTTTTTGTATTTTTACTAGAGACAGGGTTTCACCACGGTGGCTAGGCTGGTCTCAAACTCCTGACCTCAAGTGATCTGCCTACCTCTGCCTCCCAAAGTGTTGAGATTACAACTGTGAACCACTGCGCCTGGCCACTTTCTTTTCTTAAATAAAAATCGCACCATATAATGTATTTTTCCTCTTTTATTTGTGATAGTTCTGACTCCTCATTCTCTCTCCTCTTTCCTCAGGGATCCGGTGTGATTAAAGCTGGTTTTGCTGGTGATCAGATCCCCAAATACTGCTTTCCAAACTAGTAAGTCATTCTGTAGCTTAGACGTTTTGGAGGTTCATCAGCTTTGTTATAGGTCCAGCCTTATGAGGGAGAGGAGCTGGGTTTGGAGTCATAAAGGAAAACAGTTGTCTACATGGTGCAATTTGAGAGGCACAGATCAGAGGCCTCTTTTTAAAAATCCAATTTTATCTGTTGCTAAAAAATTTTATCATTGGTAACTCATTGCTTTGGATGATTGCCTCTTTGTGGAGCCCTCCTTTTAAAATTCTCCTATCACCCAGGCTGGGGATTAACATTTAACCCATCTACCATCTTTTTTTTGAGATGGAGTCTTGCTCTGTTGCCCAGGCTGGAGTGCAGTGGCACAATCTCGGCTCACTGCAAGCTCCGCTCCTGGGTTCACGCCGTTCTCCTGCCCCAGCCTCCCGAGTAGCTGGGACTGCAGGTGCCCGCCACCATGCTGGCTAATTTTTTTGTATTTTTAGTAGAGATGGGATTTCACCGTGTTAGCCAGGATGGTCTTAATCTCCTGACCTTGTGATCTGCCTACCCTCAGCCTCCCAAAGTGCTGGGATTACAGCCCTTCTACCATCTTAATGAGGAGTTTCTCAGAACTTTCCTCCTAAGGGAGAGAGACTGCAGGCAGGAGAAGAACACAGAGGCTTACAGGAAGGGCTTAAAGGGGGAGGGGAAAGGAAGAGGCTATCTGTCCGATCTGAAGCATCACAGTTTTTTTTTTGTTTTTTGAGACAGAGTCTCATTCTGTAGCCCAGGCTGGGAGTGCAGTGGCGCGATCTCGGCTCCACTGCAACTCCTGCCTTGTAGGTTCAAGTGATTCTCGTGCCTCAGCCCCCCAAGTGCTGGGATTACAGGGCATGTGCCATCACCCCAGCTAATGTTGCCCAGGCTGGTCTCAAACTCTTTTTTTTTTTTTTTTTTTTTTTGGGAGATGGAGTCTCACTCTGTCGCCCAGGCTGAAGTGCAGTGGCACAATCTTGGCTCACTGCAAGCTCCGAACTCCCGGGTTCACACCATTCTTCTGCCTCAACCGACTCCCGCCACTGCACCCTGCTAATTTTTTGTATTTTTAGTTGAGACAGGGTTTCACCGTGTTAGCCAGGATGGTCTCGATCTCCTGACCTCATGATCCGCCTGCCTCGGCCTCCAAAGTGCTGGGATTACAGGCGTGAGCCACCACACCCCGGCCGGTCTCAAACTCTTGACCTCAAATGATCCACCTGCCTTGGCCTCCCAAAGTGCTGGGATTATAGGTGTGAGCAACCGAGCCCAGCCCAGCATCACAGTTTTACATAGAGATCCTGGGAAGGGGACTAAGGACACTAAAATGTTTTGAGTTAATCACTCCTTTAGAAATTCTCATTTCCTCATCTTTCTTGGTCTGTACATACACTGGAGAAAGAAAGAACTAAAGGTATTGAATACTCTAAAAATGTGTTTTCATAATTTATAATAATATAATAAATATGAAATAATATATAAATAATATAATAATGTTCATTTTAGAAAATTGTGGAAAATACAGAAAAGTATAAAGAAGAAAATCAAAATCAACTGTGACCTCACTCCTGGAAGTAATCTCAGTAGAATTTGAGTGTGTATGTTCATCTATATATCCTTCCTGTATTCTGTCATGAATGAAAATGATGGTCCTCTTCACTATCTTTCCTAGTGTCGGCCGACCAAGCATGTTCGTGTCATGGCAGGAGCCCTTGAAGTGACATCTTTCATTGGTCCCAAAGCCGAGGTAATTCCCAGGCCTACAGACAAGCCTCAAGCCAGCAGAGGACCTTCATTATTCACCACATGGAACGTGTCCCAACATTTGGACAAACCAGAAGTAAAAGGGGCAACTTTCTCTTAAAATCTCCCTTTTGATTCTCTCATCCTAGGTCTAGTGGTTTATTTTTCCCAGGAATAGCCTGTGGTCTTGGAGAAGAAATACCTGGGACCTCACTTTGGGAAACACTGAGACCAGTCTAGAAAACAGGGCTGTTGTCTTCTGCATTCTGTCACTGCCTTGTCAGTGATCAAATTGTTAGTTATTTTTTTCACAAACAATATTCAGTGGGGAGATCCTGGCTGGGGTACCCTAGGGATGAGTTAATTCATACAGCTTTGGCAGAGCCCTCATGCAGCCTCTCGTAAGCAGAACAGCAGAATCGCTGTTGCCATCCTTGGCTTCAAGTACTGAGGCCCAGAGGTGGGAGCCAGGAGATTGTGTCCTGGAACCAGGCACTGAGGAAGGTGCCTTCTGCCACTTGCCCTAGAGGCACCTGAGGGGCCATGGAAATGCAGAAGCCCCCTGCTTTGCCAGCTTCTCGGGAATGAGGGCAGTTTGCAGCAAACAGTATATAGACCTGGAGAATGAGTGCCTACCCTTAGCCCTGGGCAAGGACAGCAGGGTGGGAGCTCAGGAAGCTAAGGCTTCTTTGCGAGGGATTCAGCTTGCCACTGCTCAGTCTTGGGAGAGCAGCGTCCTGGGCAGAGCCCTGACTGCAGCTGCAAGTCCTGTTCTCTTTTCCCCAGGAGCACCGAGGGCTGCTCTCAATCCGCTATCCCATGGAGCATGGCATCGTCAAGGACTGGAACGACATGGAACGCATCTGGCAATATGTCTATTCTAAGGACCAGCTGCAGACTTTCTCAGAGGAGGTGAGGATCCTGTGTGTAGGGCACTCCATAGGGTATGCAAGCTGTATGAACTCCTCCCCTAAGAGATGATGAGGGAGGATGATGATCACTGCCGAGTACTGGAGCCCATTTGCTTTTCAGGTCATATTCAGATTTAATCTTTTTTTTTTTTTTTTTTTTTTTGAGATGGAGTCTTGCTCTGTCTCCCAGGCTGGAGTGCAGTGGCGCGATCTCCGCTCACTGCAAGCTCCGTCGCCTCCCAGGTTCACGCCAGTCACCTGCCTCAGCCTCCTGAGAAGCTGGGACTACAGGCGCCCGCCACCTCGCCTGGCTAATTTTTTGTATTTTTAGTAGAGAGGGGGCTTCACCATGTTCGCCAGGATGGTCTCGATCTCCTGACCTCGTGCCCGCCTCGGCCTCCCAAAGTACTGGGATTACAGGCATGAGCCACCGCGCCCGGCCAGATTTAATCTTAACACCATTCCTATGAGATATAGGTAGTATTATCTCATTTTACAAACAAGGGAACAAATTCAGAAGAGCCAAGTTGTATTTCCAAGGTCACCTAGTGAACAAAGGGTAGAGATGGGATTCAAACCTATGTCTTTTAGAATTCAGAGCCTGTGCTCATTAACTTCTTTTGCCCAGACTGGAGTGCAATAGCTCACTGTAGCCTCGACTTCCTGGGCTCAAGTAATCCTCCCATCTCAGCCCCACCCCCTGCACCATGCCCAGCTAATTTGTGTGTGTGTGTGTGTGTGTGGTGGGGTTTTGCTCTTGTTGCCCAGGCTGGAGTACAACGGCGTGATCTAGGCTCACTGCAACCTCCGCCTCCCGGATTCAAATGATTCTCCTGCTTCAGCCGCCCAAGTAGCTGGGATTACAGCATAAGCCATGGCACCTGGCCAATTTTGTATTTTTTGTAGAGACAAGGTTTTGCCATGTTGCCCAGGCTGGTCTCGAACTCCTGGGTTCAGGCAATCTGTCCACCTCCACCTCTCAAAATGCTGGGATTACAGGCGTGAGCCACTGTGTACAGCCTGTGCTTGTTAACTTGTGAGGAAGTAACTCTCCATTCAAAAATGCAAAGGGAGGCCGGTCGCTGTGGCTCACACCTATAATCCCAGCACTTTGGGTGGATCTCTTGAGCT